CAGGCTTCGCCCCCTTGCCTGCTTGCAGCTCTCCCTGCTCTGTGGACACCGACACCGCTTACTCTTGTTTCCACCGGTGCTTTGGTTCGTGTTTAGTTTCCTCCCTTTGTGTGAGGGTTTGGTTTTTTGTTCAGGCACAAATGTTGAGATGTTGCAAAGTGACTGAGCGCTGTTTGTAAGCAGCAATAGCTTCAGGACAGGCAAGGTCAGACAAACTCACAAATACAATCCTTCCCATGCACCCTACCAAACTTTGCCGTGGCTTGAATTCATTGTTTGAGAGCACTGCTCTGCTCTTGTGCTGGCTCCGGTACTGTGAATCACGGGATGACTTTGGCAGCTCCTGATGCTGCTTCATTTTTGCATTTAGTTGCATTGAATAAGAATGATAAAGCCCCGAGTGAAGCAATATTACGGCCTTTTCCTCTGTGTTTAGATGGTGTTGGTTTTGACCCTTTAGTGAGAGATCTGAAAACATTTACTGCAGGAAAATTTGTGGTATTCCAAAGGGAATTTAATATCTTTATCATGCAGAAGTATATAACCTGATGAATTGGTCAGAGTGTTTTTGTGGAGGCTGACCCTGTTGCACCCAGGGAGCCTACTTTATTTTAGCCCAGGTTTGTAGTGTGTGTCACCGGTACCGCTAGCGCCTGTTGCCATCTTTTGCCTGTGCGTTGCTCAGAGAGTTCCTTGTCCCTTGTAGCATGTCTTAGGAGTAATATCTTTCCTGGTTTGTGGCCATAAGAGGGTTTAGCCATACAGCTCATGAGGTCAGGGAGATTTGCTACTGATACAAACAGATATTTTTGCATTAGAGCTTTTTTTTAGTAATTTTTCAAATAATTGTAGCTCAGTATATTTAGGATTGCATTTCTTGTCAACCAATCATACGTGCTAATAAAAATACCATGTGAATTACTGGGGTTTTTTTCTGCATTAGTGGTACATAACCCCATTTTGCATGTGTTTTAGCCTATGTCTGTCTTACATATGTGAGAATCCCATAGTCACTGAATACTAGACAGTAAGTTAAAAAAATGCGAGAAAGCAAGACACATAAAATACCATATTCAAAACAACTTTCCCTGCCCCAGTAACCTTTGTTGTAAAAAAACAACGTTGTTTTTGTCCTTAGCAGTTACGTTACTTTATCCTGGAATTGTAATCTCTGATACTTCACTTTTTTAGAAGACTTTAATCACAGGGGATTCAGGTTTACCTTAATTCCTACCTCATAAATTAAGAAGAAATTGGGATGCTAGGTGTTTTGGTACAATATACAGTGGAGTCTGAGTAGTTAACTGCTTACTGTTTTCAGCAATGAAGTGTATCTGTTTTATCATGAAAGTTCTCTTTTCCCACTTGATTTCAGCTACTCAGTAGTAAGAGTTGTTGTCAGTGTCTGAAAATAAACAGCCATGTAAATTTCAAACAGTGGTTTCTCCTTTTTTACAGCAATTATTATCTTGGTTACGAGCCAGTGCTTCATGTGTCAGAACTCTTCATTTTGAACTTTTATTAAAATAGTGCACCTAAGAAGATGTCCAGTACAGATCCCCTAACAAATACAGATAAAAAGTAAGTACTTTTTCTTTTTCCCCGCACACAGGAGTACAACAATTACTGGATTGTAATACGAAAATTCTTACAGTTTCATTAGTAGGATCTTGTTTTGGTGAAGTCTTAAAGAAACATAACTTTGATATTGAAACAGTCTGAAGCAACATCTTAGCAAAGCTTATACCAACACCAGCGAATTTACACATAAAGGGAAGAAATAGCTCTTAAGCTTTTCATTAAGTTAATCAGCACTTTGTTTGGACTGGTTCTGTAGAGATAAAACCCCACATAGAAATTCCTTAATGCTTCTGCAGCTATGAAAACATGAGGTATATAGCAAATTTCTTCCTTGTACATACAGGGTAACTACAGTAACATAAGACGCTGTATAGAGTTTATGTATTATAACGCACTACTTTTTCAGAATACTATGCAGGTCTTTAATGTTTTATATGTAGTACTTTGGAACCATCTTATTTTTTACCAACGCCCTGGGTTATGTGATAATTATATTCATTCTATAAACCGTAATGTTATCCACTTAGAAGTTGGATCGGATTCTAAATGGCGAACTTGGAGTCAATCGTGATTGAAAAATCGTAACCCTTCCCAAACTGCTAAGTAGCCATGCCAACGCTGTCATCAAAACTGTAATTAAAAACAGGCACAGACAGCTCTTGCTGGACAATCGCGTTGGCTGTGCTTGTGCAGTACAATCGAGCAAATAGTGTTCAGAAGTGTTGTCAAACAATGTAGCATAGATTTTTGGATTATGCTGCTTCATAGATAACTTGATTTTTTTAAAAAAAATAAAGCCACAAAACATTAAAAAAATGAACTTGCTTTTTACTGGGAGCTGAAGAAGCAAACACTCTGCTTGTCCGATGGAAATACCGGGTATGTAATACGAAGATACATCTTTAAAACAGCTCTGGCTTGCTAGATTGATGTGGAAGGTATATGAGTAGTTACTGGATGACTGTATTCCAAAAGCAATTTTTCACATAGGAGATGAACATGAAAGGTGCATCTAGCTGCACTTCAGCTACATGATGATGGAAGACTGTAATTTTCTATACTTATTTTTTTCTGGCAGACAGCATCAATGCACAGTGCTCCAAGAATGTACATGGTTATATGTTAATTGAGGTTTACCTAAACTTTAAATAATACCTTTCTTCTCTGCACAAGGGGTTAGCCTCAAACCATTCATGCTTCTCCACAATTACAACATTGCTCAAGTTTTTTTTTTTTAATGTTTAACGGTAGCCATATGATGGTGTTTGTTTTCTTTTAATCTTTATGACCTAATCAGCAAAATATATTTTGAATAATTAGTGGGTTTGGATAGATCAGAAGTGGTTGTTCATGCTATGTGACACAGCGTTCTCTTGGCTGTTGTCCTTCAGTGTCATCATAAATTGTTGCCTTTTAGCATTAGTGAACCTGAAAAGCTCCAGCTGCGTAACCGACTTGTGTAGGATTTTTGTAAAAGATCTTTGTTTTATTTATAACAAAAAGATCTTGTGAATCTTGCTTCCGAAGATTCTGCAAATCTTTTTGTCATCTGCTAAATTATCCTGTAGTCCATCTCAGTTGCTAAAGCATTACAAAACTTCCTTTGGGAACGGTGAGTCATAATTAACAATGTTGCCAGAATAGAATACTTTACTAGCTGTTTGACAAAGAATCTTAGTTTGTTTGCTGCATAAAGTAACAAATGATGCCTCTTGAGAATTTAGTCTTACTTATTGATAGTGGGTTTTATGGGGGTTTAAGCTGTTACAGCATTCCTAGATCTTTCCTGAAGTAAAAAGTAATCTGTGTTCCCCTGAGTACGTTCTCGAAAGGCAGAGGTCTTGCAAAAGAAGCAGTAACAGCATTTTTTCTGTATGAGTCCTTTAGAAAGACTAAAAGCAGCACAGCAGCAGAATTTTAAGGTAAAGAAGGATAGAAGCCTTGGGGGTGAGGTCAGGAAGCTGAACCCTGCATAGTTTACTTTGAAGAAGGGATGGAGGAGCAATTGTTTGGACAAATGATATATTACTGTTAATAACTAATAAAAAGAGGTGGGAACAGTAAGAAGCTTAATACTACTTTATATCTGCTTAAATTATTGGGACGTTTGTCGTGCCTAGTTTGATAAAAAAATAAAAATAATTTTTTGCTTTTTAATAATGGAAATGCATAGCCTTAAGTCATACTTTTAAGGGCGACAGGGAGGATGTTTCTGTTGCAGAAAACATGACACTGCATACAAGCCTTATTGGTCTGAGTGATTTGTTTTGATAAATGTTCCTGATACTGACCACAAATTGAATTCCACTGGTGTTAAGAACAGTGACAATTTTGTTGGAGAAAGGCTATTGGATTTTATCTTCTGTAACCTTGCCTGGAGCAAATCTAATTGATAGGATGCTTAAAATATCAACGGCTTTTCTTTCATCGGACTGTAATGCCAGTAACACCAGCAGAGTTAAACTGATTGAGGAAAGACTACAAAGGGCCAAATTTTCATCACTGAATGGATGTGAGCAATCCAAAGGATGCCAGTGGCGCTCTTCGCCTTTCAGGAACTGGGAAGGCTGCTCTGTGTTCCCACGTCCATCATTGATCTGCTCCTTAATCTGCGGTGGGTCACTTCACCCTGCTGCCCCTCTTGCGTGTGCAGATTGCAGGCTCTAGGGACTGGCCTCAGTATATGTGAACTCTGCAGAGCACGTTGCCTATAAGCAAAAAGATCCTTTCCCCAGAACAATTACATGCTAGTGAAACCACAGTCACTACAACTTTAAAAAAAAAAAAAAGTGCATGAGAGAAGCATATGCATTCCTCACACAGCCAGGCTGTCCTGCTGTGCAGCTCTAGACGCTGACAGATGCTGTCTCATCACGGAGTTACTCCCTGCTTTAGAGAGGATTCACCTTTCTACTTAAACAAAGCCATCAGTGAACACAGAACATTTAGTTTCCATTCTAAACTGTAATCTATTCAAGATCTTTTAGAAAGAGGGGGATAATAGGAATGCATCTTCTGATGCAAGCCTGAAAGAAAATAGTAGTTAACCAAACGGGTGTCAGGTGCACAGAACTTCTGAAAATTGGCGTATTTCCGCAAGACCACGCCTCGTATCAGAAAAAAGTCTTAACCTCTGGAAATAGCAGTGTCTTTTTTACTTTCTCAACTAGATTATTCTCAGTGTAATGATACAAATTCACTATTTTTATTTGCTTTCCCAAAAACCCAGATGTGTCAGCTTCCATTTCTAGAGAAAATAGATAACCCAAGTTCTGCATTGACTTTGGACCGTTGTATACGGAAAGACTGAAAACCAAGTTAAAGCATGACACAAGTCAATACCATGATTGGAAATGCAAAGTAATAGCGTAATGGCATTTGTTTCATTAATGCTTTCAGTCTGTCCGCTTTGTTGGCTTTCCCTTTTGTGTGTGGATGTACATAATCCAGTCTGCTAGGAAGATTGCTTTAGAAAGGTCATGAGTTATTGCTTTTGACCTTGTTTGCAGGGAACATGTAAATAAATTATTGGAAGAACGGGAGTAAATAAGGTTTATTTTATTTTAATCATTTGGCTTCTGCTGCTAGACATAGATTGCCTAATCACAGTTGTGAATGCATGTAAATTTTCTCTCCTTTGCGTTTTCAGTCTTTAAAGTTGCTATCAATTGCCATTTCAAACAGAGAAAAAGTAAACCTTGATAGGTGAATTAGTCCATGTGACGCAGAGGGTTTCAGAGAAGATTAAGTAGGCAGACACTCGTCTCGAGCTCTGCC